AAAAAAAGAAAAAAAATTAAAAAAAAAAAAACGGACGGTAGAACCCTAGGACAAATGGTGGAAGAAAAGCTATGCAGACAAAATCTCACACAGAATCATACACATACACACTCACAAAAAGAGGAAAAGGGGTAAAAATCATAAATGTTGCTCTCAACGTCCACTTTCTTAATTTGGGATGATTCGTTGTCTGTTCATGTATTCCACAGATGGCAGGTACATCAAGTTGATTGTGGAGCTTTAATCAGCTGCTTCTGAGGCTGCTGGGAGGGATTTCCCTTTCTCTTCGTTGTTCTCACAGCTCCCGGGGCTCAGCTTTGGATTCGGCCCCGCCTCTGCGTGTACGTCACTGGAGGGCGTCTGTTCTTCGCTCAGACAGGACGGGGTTAAAGAAGCAGCTGATTCGGGGGCTCTGGCGCACTCAGGCCGAGTGGAGGGAGGGGCACGGAGTGCGGGGCGGGCCTGCGGCGGCAGAGGCCAGCGAGACGTTGCACCAGCCTGAGGGCGCCGTGCGTTCTCCCGGGTAAGTTGTCTCTGGATCCCGGGACCCTGGCAGTGGCGGGCTGCACAGGCTCCCCGGAAGGGGGGTGTGGATAGTGACCTGTGCTCGCACACAGGCTTCTTGGTGGCGGCAGCAGCAGCCTTAGCGTCTCATGCCCGCCTCTGGGGTCCGCGCTTTTAGCTGCGGCTCGCGCCCGTTTCTGGAGCTCTTTTAAGCAGCGCTCTTAATCCCCTCTCCTCACGCACCAGGAAACAAAGAGGGAAGAAAAAGTCTCTTGCCTCTTCGGCAGGTCCAGACTTTTCCCCGGAATCCCTCCCGGCTAACCATGGCGCACTAATCCCCTGCAGGTCGTGTTCACGCCGCCAGCCCTAGTCCTCTCCCGGAGGAGCTCGTCGGAAGCCCGAGCCTCCGCTCCCAGCCCTGCCCACCCCGGCGGGGGACCAGACAAGCCTCTCGGGCTGGTGAGTGCCGGTCGGCCCTGATCCTCTGTGCGGGAATCTCTCCGCTTTGCCCTCCGCAACCCTGTTGCTGTGCTCCGCGGCTCCGAAGCTTTCCCCCTCCGCCACCCGTAGTCTCCGCCCGAGAAGGGGCTTCCTAGTGTGTGGAAACCTCTCCTCCTTCACAGCTCCCTCCCACTGGTGCAGGTCCCGTCCCTATCCTTTTGTCTCTGTTTATTCTTTTGCCCTACCCAGCCAGGTACATGGGGAGTTTCTTGCCTTTTGGGAGGTCTGAGGTCTTCTGCCGGCGTTCAGTAGGTGTTCTGTAGTTGTTCCACATGTAGATGTATTTCTGGTGTATCTGTGGGGAGGAGGGTGATCTCCGCGTCTTACTCTTCTGCCATCTTCCCGCTCAACTGTTTTTTCTTTTCTGAACTATAACTTGTGTTATTTTACTCCAAATACTTCTGCATGCATCTCTAAAAATTAAGGATATTTTTTCTTAAGTATAGTATTTATTTTTATTTATTTATTTATTTTTTGCGGTACGCGGGCCTCTCACAGTTGTGGCCTCTCCCATTGCGGAGCACAGGCTCCGGACGCGCAGGCTCAGCGGCCATGGCTCATGGGCCCAGCCGCTCCGCGGCATGTGAGATCTTCCCGGACCGAGGCATGAACCCCCGTCCCCTGCATCAGCAGGCGGACTCTCATTCACTGCGCCACCAGGGAAGCCCCAAGTATAGTATTATAATGAAATTCACAGTTCCTTGTTGTCATCCAATACCCAAATCGTATTCATATCTCCCCAGTTAGCCCTTAGCTCAAATGTCTTTTCCTGCTAATTGGTTCAAGTCAGGATCCAGTCAAGGTCCGCACCCTGTATTTGGTTGTTACCCTCTTAAGTCGATAGAATGTCCCACCTTCTGGTTTTGTCTGTTAGCTTCCAAATGGTGTCATTTAACTTATTCCTCTAATTCTTATATTTCCTATAAACTGGAAATTAGATGTAAACTTTTGGGTTAAGCATGTTTGATAAGTTGCCTTTAAGTGATGCAACATGAGGTGTACTTCATCTTCACGTCGGTAGGCACATAATATCTGGTTATTCCACTGTTAGTGCGTAGGTGATGACAGCCTGATCCCTTGATTTTAAAGTTAAGTTTTCCTCTTGAGATTAGCAAGGAATCCACGAGGGTGATACTTGGGCATTATGCAAATATCCTGTTCTCCATCAACCTTTCACTTAATGGTTTTAGCATCCATTGATCCTTGCTTGAGTGAATTTTTTCGTTAGAAGATGCAAAAAATGATTTTCTATCATTCATCTATATCAATTAGCTATATTTTTCTGTAAAGAAGAGCTTTCGCTCACCACCTTGAGCCATCTTGTTACCTGGAAGTAGATTTCTACGGCAAAGCAGAGTAATGCTTAATTTTTTCTCTTTAATTATCATTTCAGAATAAAGACTTGGTGTGATAGGTAACTCCTGTGGTGACAAAGGGATTGCGTTGTTGTTGTTTTTTTTCATTTCTTTTTGTTTACAAGTTTTAACTTACTATACCTTCCTGTGAAAATTGAAGCTTTTATGACTATGTAGTGACTCTCTTTATCCTAAAAATAGTTTTTTCTTTTTGTCCTAAATCCCTATTTTTAAAAAATACTATATAGCTTACCCAGCTTAAATTTGGTTATGAGCTTATTTTCTATGTCTTTTTTCATCTTTTTGGTTTTAATGGTCTGTAACCTAACATTCTGGGTGTGTCTTTTATAAATAACATGTAGCTTGATTTTATATTTTTATCCATTTTGCCTATCTTATGTATTAGTTGGTGACTTTAACATTTATTGTAATTATTGATATTTTTGTTTTTAGCATCCTATTTTGTATATTTTATTTGTTCCATTTTCTATGCTTCCCTTCCTTTTAGCTCTCCTCCTTTCTTTTGAGATTGTTTGATATTTTGATTATTTTTCCTTAATCTATTTCTTGTTTTGAAGTTAAAAACTTTATTTCCATTCTTTTGGTGGTTACTCTTTTGACCGCTTAGAATATGTATGGTCAAGCCACTCACGATGGCTGTTCTCTTGCTCTCTGTACATCCCTTGCCCGACCAGTGCCTGCTTCACTTATACCCTGCTCACATGACTGACCTTCCTACATACTTGCCCCAGACCCCAGCTAGTAATTGTTCTTATCCAAAGGGGTGGTGAGGGTTGTGCCCCTCGGGTGGTTTCCCTGGTAACTAATGCACCAATCTGACCTCAATTCCCCCTATAACTGGCGATTTCCCCTCCCCCCGGGGGCAAGGCCTGCTGCCATGTCCTGCCTGCCATGTGCTGCACACAGTGGGGTGTTGCTCCAGAACTTTGCTTCAGACATGTTAGCTCCCCCATCCATTAAACCGTTAATATCTCTGTCACCGACTCTGGGCTCTTTCTTTGGTCTTAAAACTGGGCAAGTACAGGCCTCGTAGGCCTGCAGGATGCAGCCCAACAGAATATAATACATATACTTTATGTATCATAACTTTAATCAATATTTAAAACCCCCTCTTGAGAAAAGTTAAGAACTTTAGAGTATTTTAACTCCAACTAGTCTCTCCTGACTTACACACTATTGTTATTCTGTATTTTGATTAGACTTAAAAAAATTAACCCACAAAATAGATGTTATTGTTATGTTGACAAAATTTGTTTAGATTTATCTACATTTGTACCAGTTGCATTCTTTACTATTCCTTCTTGCATCTCAGTTTTCCTTTTTAGCCTCATTTTCCCTCTCCCTAAAGTATATACTTTAAATGTTCCTTTAGAGAAGGAACATTGTTGGTAATAAACTCTCAGTTTTGTTTTCCTAAAAATACCTTTCTTTTTCTTGAAAGATAGTTTTGTAGTATTCACAATTCTTAGTTGACTGTTACCTCTTGGCACACTGAAGATACAAATCCACTGTCTTCTATCTTTTTTATGCTGTGGGGAAGTCTGCTGTTAGTCTGACTGTGGTACAATTGTGGTATTGTAAGGGGTCTGGGTTTTTTCTCTAGCTGCTTTCAAGTGTTTCTTTTCATCTTTGGTGTTATGAAGACTCACTATAATATGCCTAGGTGAAGATTTACTTTAATGTTTCCACCTTGGTTGTATGGGTATACACTATGGTGGCCTATGCTGTATCTGTGGATTCTTGCCTTTAACTAGTTCTGGGTATTCTCAGCTGTTAAGTTTTGGGATATTGTTTCCCTTTCATTCTTTCTGTTCTCTCTCTCTGGGGCTCTAACTGGATATATTAGACCTTATCATTCTAGCCTCCATTATTCATAGCCTTGTTTTCATATTTTAAAGTCTTCCTATCTCTTTCTGCTAAAAACTGAAACTGAAAAATGAAATAAGCCAGGCACAAAAAGAGAAATACTATATGATTCCACTTATATGAGTAGTCAGATTTGTAGAGACGGAAAGTAGAATGGCGACAACCAGAGGCTGGGGTATGGGAGAAATAGGGTTATTATTTAATAGGTACAGAGTGTCAGTTTGGCAAGGTGAAAACTATTCTGGAGATGAATGGTGGTGACAGATGTACAACAATGTGAATGTGTGGTAGTTTATAGCATGAACTCTGGAGTCAGAATGCTCATGTTCAACTTACCAGTATGTAACCTCAGGCAAGGTCCTAAATCTCATTTTGCTTAGTTTTCTTATCCTTAAAATGGGGATAAGAACAGTACCTATCTCATAGGTTTGTGTGAGTATTAAGTGACTCCATACATGATGAGGCACTTAGAATCGTGTACCGTACATAGAAATACTCTATTAGTTCTTATTATAGATAATTCTAACACCTGAAGTCCTTGAGGTTCTATTTTCTGTTTTTGAAAACGGAAAACCATGGTGGTTTTTATTTTTTAAAATGTTGGCCAATCTTTGTGAGCTCACGTTTGGAGGATCTCTGTCTGGGAATCCCGAGGCTCTAAATGTGGGATGTTTTCATCCTTCATTAGATCTGCCACCTGGGATCACATTTACCCCATTCAATGGTCTCTGTTCCATGTGGGAATCCCAGGTGCAGCTTCCCTACCTGCAGTGAGTCTGGGTTTAGTTGTGATCTCAGCCTTAGTGTAGGTCTGTGTCCCAGGGCAACCGAAGATATTGGTTAGCCATTGCTCCCAGATATCCACCTTAGTTTCAGCTCACAATTCTGATGGTTTTGTTTTATTTTATTTTGATGTTTTTGGCCTTTGAGGATTTCAATTATTGATCTGGGCTCTCAGAAGAGCATCGGTTTCCATTCAGTAGAGTAGAAAGTTCTTTCCTGGCTTAGCAATGCCTTCTGGGACCTCAGCCTGGAAGCTGGCTTGTTCAGTGGGCTGTGTCTCTCCCACCTTGGGATGCTGGGAGCATGAGAGGCAGCTGAGCTGGGGCTGCTGACTTCCTGGGTGCCTGTGGGCTGTGGGGTCTCTTATAGGAATGGAGGTCCTTTGCTGTACCAAGATATGCTGAGGGTGTGGGCAGAGGTGTGTGTCCAAGGGGGCTCTTGCTCTGTGCCTGACTTCTGGGGGATCCCCAGGTGGACAGGGTGGGGCGGGGGGAAGCAGTTTCCAGCACTGCAGGGGGGCAGCAGCAGCATCATGGATCAGACTAGAATAAAAGAGACCAACAAAGAAATCAGATGATTTGAAAATGGACAAAATGGTGGCATGCAAAATTAATCTCCTTTACTGAAGCTTCTTGCTCATCTCTCTACCCTCTAGAGGCCTTTCCACCCACCTTCTTGTCAGAATCAGTTCTCTGGAAAATGTCTGATAGTCTCCTTCTGCCAGAGAACAGAGAATGGTAAAGCTGGGTGTGTTCCATACCCTTTGTATTTAATGGGAATCTCTGATCTAAGGAATTTCATAATGGTGGCATCCCAGGTTGTCACTTGCTGGGAAAGAAGATGGTTGGGGATGTAAGGGGGTATCTCAGAGGCATTAAGCCACTAAGGATGGTCTAGTACCCTCAGAGGAGAGGAAGGGAGGGAGGGCACAAGAGGTAGAGCAAACGTGCTCACCTTCCGGACATTGTAGATCCAGTTGAGATAGGCTGTGGTCTTGGTGTACACTCCCGGGGTGCTCGGCTCCCCACAGCCATAGCCCCAGCTCACGATGCCCACTACTTGCCACCGGTCAGAGCGATACATCAGAGGCCCACCGCTGTCACCCTGTGGGAGGCAGGGGTTACTGGAGAGGGCAGGCAGGGCGGGGGTGGAGGGGTGGGCTTCTCCTTCCTCCCCTCTCTGCATTGGCCCATCTGTTTCCTGCTCTCCAGCACGCTCTGCTGTTCCACCCTCACCCCTTGTGCTTGTTGTTCTTGCATCCTGCGATGCCCTTCCCTTTGGGGCAAAAGTGTTCTGTGGTCAAGTAAGTTGTGGGTGTGCTCTTAGCCCTCTCTCGGAGATCCACAGCTTGGGTTCTAAGGGGTTCTGTGGTAAGGGAGACTGATTATCTTTTTTTTTAAACCACTGTCGAGTTTTTTTTTAATTTATTTTTTAATTAATTAATTAATTTTTGGCTGAGTTGGGTCTTCGTTACTGCGTGCGGGCTTTCTCTAGTTGCGGCGAGCGGGGGCTACTCTTCGTTGTGGTGTGTGGGCTTCTCATTGCGGAGCACGGGCTCTAGATGTGTGGGCTTCAGTAGTTGTGGCTCGCGGGCTCTAGAGTGCAGGCTCAGTAGTTGTGGCGCATGGGCTTAGTTGCTCTGTGGGATCTTCCCGGACCAGGTCTCGAACCCGTGTCCCCTGCATTGGCAGGCAGATTCTTAACCACTGAGCCACCAGGGAAGCCCTGTGATTATCTTTGTTTAACCTGGTAGTTCCCAGATTTATTGGACCACTTCAGGACCTATTTCGTGTCAACCACTGTTCTAGACAATTGGGGTTCAATCAACGAAAAGAAGATCCCTGCCCTAAGGGAACTTGGAATCACATGGAGAAACAGACAGAGAGAGAGATAGAGAGGAGAGAGAAAGAGAGACAGAGACAGAGAGAGAGAGGGTGAGGGGGAAACAAGCAAACAACAAAACAGACAAGGAAATGTCAGATAGTGAAAAGTGCACTTATTTGGGTGTCCTTCTTACCAGCTCTTATAGCCCCTGGGGCTTCTTCCCTCAGAATCCGATAACTCTATAACTGAACGGCCTGTTTATTCACCCCCCTGCCCACTGTGAGCTCCCTGAGGGAAGACAGTGTCCCCAGAGTTCAGCATTTACCTGACATCAAGTCATCAAGAGAGTAAGAGATGCCTCTCGAGTGAAGGAATTTAATGACTGAGAATGGGTGTGGGAGTAGGGTTTGGGGTTTGAATGAAAATGGTCCAGAAAATCCTCTGGGTGGGTATGTGAGAATATATTCAGGGATTGGCCAGTGGGATGGGCTGAGGGGATGGTGCACCAGGGCTCATCCAGCATAAGATGGGTTTTCTCTAATGTAGTTCAGCAGCTTGAGGACAGCTGTAGAGAAAACAGACCTGGGGTTCCTGCCCTCTAGGGGCTCATACTCTTTTAAATGATGGGAAGTAAGAGCGGGTGGGGAGGACTTCCCTGGTGGCACAGTGGTTAAGAATCCACCTGCTCATGCAGGGGACACGAGTTTGAGCCCTGGTCGTGGAAGATCCCGCATGCCGCAGAGCAACTAAGCCCGTGCACCACAACTACTGAGCCTTCGCTCTAGATCCCGCGAGCCACGACTACTGAGCCCACATGCCACAACTACTGAAGCCCGTGCGCCTAGAGCCCGTTCTCTGCAACAAGAGAAGCCACGACAATGAGAGGTTCGCGCACTGTCTCCGCAACTAGGGAAAGCCCGCGCACAGCAATGAAGACCCAACATAACCAAAAAAAAAAAAAAAAAAGAGCGGTTGGGGAGTGTAGTATCATCTTTGCATGTGAAATATACATTTGGAATCTTTCTGCTTCTATCTATCTATCTGTCTATCTATCTATCCATCCATCTGTCTTTATATCTTTATCTGACTATAGTCCTTCCCTCCCTCTCCTCCTTCCTCCCTTCATCACATAGTGAGTGCCCACCATATGCAGACTTCATGGGGGGCATTCATCCTCTGAGCTTTTCCTTCAGGGCAGACATTCCCTATCTCTATAATTCCCTCGTGATCCTTGGAGACCCCACCTGGCAGGTGTCCACACCGCCCTCCAGGATGCCTGCACACAGCATCTTCTTGGTGACCTCCCCCTGGTACGCATCCTCTGCATTGCACCGAGTGCTGTCAATGAGCTGGACAGATGCCTGCAGCAGTATGTCAGATATCTTCCCTGCAGGTTGAAAACACACTCACATTCCCATTCTTGCCTTCAACCCCAGCCCAGGATATTCTCTGGGTTGCCTGGTACCTTGGTGCTTGGACCTCCAGGATAGGTTTTTCTAAAGGATGGTCCTCCTTCCCATCACTTTCAGGAGCTGCTCACTTAGTCCTGTGGTCCTGAGCCTGGGACTTACCTCCGTTCTCTGCTGTATAGCCCCATCCGATGATCCAGAGTGGGGTGGCTGGAGGGAGCTCCTCATCAGAGAAGGGCAGGCAGATGGGCCTGACTGTGTCTACCAGGAGCAAAGAGGAAGAGGGGACTCAAGGTTCAGGAGAGCCTGGCAGCTAAGCCCTCTGTAAGTGTTGGCACCATGGTTTCTGTAACGTACATTTCATGGGATGTTAATAGAAGTGGCATGAGAAAAAGGTTCTGTGGTCAAAGAAGTTTAGAAAATGTGAGTTAAACAAATTTAAAAAACTTCTCATATCATTGATATACTAATGTGCTCCAGGAAGAGAGCTATAGTACAAAAATGTTTTCCAAGCTTATATGAGAATGGAACCCTTTTTTACCCAAGGGACCAGTGTCCTGTGGAAGCTACCATTGGAAAGACTGATCTAAATACTACCCAATGTAAACATGAGTCATCGAACAGAGATGGGCTGCTTTAACAGTAATGAGTCCCTGCCCCTGGAGGAGAGCAAATGGGCCCAGTGACCCCTTGGCAGGGAGATCGTGCAGGCTCTTGCCATTGGTCGGGGTGGAGGATGGATTAGGTCATCTTTTAGGTCCCTCACAACTCCAAGATTGGATGAATCTGTGATTCTCACTTGAGGTGCTCCACGGGGAGAAAACAGACCTCAGAAGAATCTGGCAGGGGTGGGGTCAGGTGTCAGCTGATAGCTCGGGGAGGCCTCATGGCTTCCATGATGTTAGGCCGATACATTTGCAAGAAACAATAGGCAAACTGAGGTCTTGGGAAGAGATGTGCCCAAGGCCGCTTAGTGAATGAGCTAGTGGCAGAGTTGGAGTTCTGTGCCCAGGTGCCAGCTCTCACCGGAGAACGTGAGTGGGAGCTGCAGCTTCACGAGGGCCATGTCCCGCTCTTTGCGGGACGTGATGTTTGGCTCGATGATGAAGATCTTGGCCACAGGCAGGGATGGGAAGTTGCCCAGTTTGTCTGAGCCTGCCATCACCTTCCAGTTGGACACATCGAGATGCTTCCTGGGGACGGAGACAGTGCGGTTCAAGACTGAGCCAAGCATGAGGAGGCTTTGCCAGAGGCTGGGTCCCCAGGGCCCTGGGGAGTGGGGTGTTGGCTGCCCCTGCCTTGGGAGGTAATGATGGTGAGGGCAGGGGTGGTGGAGAAGGGGCAGTCTGAGGAATCACCTACCACAGGTCAAATTCTAAAGGGGAATTTGATCCTTTTCCCTGGTGAAACCTTCCCAAAGAAACTTCTAACTGGAGGGCTGGGGAAGGGGCTGTTCCCAGTGCCTGAGCTCTGGGTCCTGACACTCTCTCCTCCCGTGCTTTTTACTGGCTCTGCTACTCACGTGGTACTTGCACTTGTCTTCCTCCCAACACCAGACACAGCTGAGTGTGCAGGAGTGATTTTCCAGGGAAAGGTTTATAGCTTTTGTCAGATTCTCCAAAAAGGTTAAAAATCACAGGCCTACACTGTGTGCTCCTCCAAGGCAGTGATGGAGTCTAATGCATGAGGGTACATAGTACCTAGTAGGTACTCATAGGTGTTGAATGAATGAATGAATGAATGAATGAAGGTGAAGAGGACCTGGAGCAGTCTTTCCCCAGAGGTATGGGCAGTCCTGTCTCTACTGGCCTGTAAGAGAATCTGTCCTTTTTTTTTTTTTAAGTTTCTGAATATAATGAAGGAGTGGCAGTGACTCTGGACCCGGAACCCCTTCCTGGAAGACTGGCAAAAAGGGAGAGCGTTCTCAGGACTCCAGGCAGATGAGAAGAGCTTTTGTGCAGTGAATGATATGGGGGTAGAGTGAGGACACTGGGTACCTGGTGGCTTCCCACCTGGAAGGGAAGAGGTCAGCCTCGGTGACCAGCTCTCCTCAGACCCCCAAGGCCTAACAAAGGACATCATGTCCAGTGTCTCACTGGGGTGGCCACACCCTGGTGTATGGTCTTTAGGGGAAGGGGTGGGGTGGGGGAGGGCATCAGAAAGCAAGTTGGGAGACAGGGGACCCAGGCACTCAGGCCCCTTTGTGGCTCTGACCCCCGAGGCGCCCTCGTGTGGGCCTTACTTGAAGCAGTGGGCTGCCGTGAGGATCCAGTGCGGGTCCAGGATGCTCCCTCCACAGATGTGCTGTTTGTCATACTGGATGCTGACCTGCCAAGGCCAAGAATCCACAGAGGCCGTCTCCCCACCCACCACCCGAGGGACCTTCAGGCTCTTTCCGCAGGCTGGACTCAGTAGCAAGGAGGGAAAAAGCAGGAGTCAGACTCTTGCGAGTGGGGACTGCCTCCCCTCAGAGCCCCCGGTCTATCCTGAGCAGGGCCCTTAGGACTGGGACCGGGGGCTGGGTCGGGGTGGGAGGACCGCACCAATTTTGAATTATTCACAGGGGGACATTGAGTGTCCCAGACCACAGGCTTTCCCCCCATCTCCCTCTCCTTTTTTTTGTTTTTTCAGCTTTGTTTGAGTTTAGGAGTTGATATTGTGAACATGGGCGTGTCCATTGTGCCAGCGTTCGTGACCTTCAAACCAAACAGGGACGCAGAATTATGAAAGTCCTGCCCAGAAGGGTGTCCCCAGCTCCTCCCACTGAGTAACAGTAAACAGACGCCCACAGGCTGCTTTGGGATTGGAGAGTGGGAAGAAAGTTCCAGAAATGGATCTTCCCATCCTGAACTCACCTTTCTCCAAGTCCCTTCCCCCTGCTGAGAGAGTCTCCCAATTTGACATCCTGTTCCCTCTTTCACATCCCACTCTCCTGGCTCTCACATCTGACTCGCAAACTCTTAAAAAAACCTCCAGTTCCACCTCCCCGTCCTGTTCTCAGCCTCTCCAATCCTTCTGGCAGTCGCTGCCACAGTGGTGGTTCTAAGGGGGAAAGGCTACCACCCTTTTTGGGCCTATGCCTGGCAGGGGCTTTTCAAATACCATCTAATTCCAAACACTGTTTTCTACATGTCACCTCGCTCCCCCACTCAGAGCCCCTCAGCATCCCCCTTTGTCTGTAGGGAAGAGTTTAACTTCCCCTTCTGGCAGCCTTCTGCTGTCCTTATATAAAGTTTCTGTCTAGCCAAATCGATCTGCTGCTAGCTCCCTAAAAAGTCTTTCTGTTTTTGCTCCAGGAGGGGCCTGTCCCTGAGATGCTGTCTCCTCTCCTGTTTATCTAGATCACCGATCATTCAGCAAATATGAATTGTGTGCCTACAGTGTCTCAAGGATGCTGGGAAGAGAGTGGTGGACAAGACAGAGAGATGGACATGGTCCCTCCCTTCCTGGAGCCTACAGTTCATTCTGTGATGTTTAGCCTGGGCACCTCCTCCAGGTCACGAAATCCCTGGGGATTTTCCTCTCTTGGCATTTCCACAGCCTGCCTGGGTGTTGGCCAGCTTTTCTTGTTGACGTGGTTAGGTTTTGTCTTCTCAGTGAGACAGAAGGCTCCTCAAGGGAGGGTCTGTGGCTTAAGCCTCTTTGTGACTCCAGGGTTGTTCAGCTTAGCACGTCGAGTGATGTGAACCTTCATTCATTTATTCATTGACCAGCCCCCATGGGTCAGCCCTCACTCACTAGGTATCGTGGGGGTCACATGATAATGGCTAAGAGTCTTAGCATCCCACAAGGAAGCATATACACTGTTAAACTGCAAAGGCAGCGAGGATGACCTTTCTCCTCTCAGGCGGCCCAGTTTCTGGCCATCCTGCCAGGCTCTGCTCGGTCCTCCCATGAGGCTGGTGGGATGAGCAGGGCTACAGTGCTTGTTTTGCCTTCTGATCTCCTCTCAGAGCTAGGGGGTCTCCCGGGATCCTCTTGGGTAGTCGGACTAAAGGGCTTCTTGGGAAGATGAACTTCAGAGAGGTCAGGTGAATTACTCAAGGTCACACTGGAAGCCAGTGGACCTGGTGCCCAGGTCTCCTGACCCTCCCCCCGCCCCACCCCAGGTGCAGCTCTCTCTGAAGCATGTCAGCTGGGACCACTGCTCAGCTTGGTACTTCCTGCACGTGGCCTTGCACCTCTCTCTTTGCTCAGCCATTAGCTCCTGAGGACAGAGGCCTGGCAGTGCTGATACACTGTAACATTCGACGAATCTTTGCTAAATGGGGTGTGGGTAATCAGATCTTGGACAGATGAGCTGATTGTGACAAAGGAGGTTATGTGGGCCCTGGCCAGGGGTGGGAGGGGGTGGAAGCCCAGTCCTGCCCTTTCCGGTTTTCCTACTCTCTCTCTACTGGGTCTCTGCCCAGGTTGCGGGACTGTGTGTGGACAGTAAGAGGGAGTTCTTACTGTCAACCTCTTGAAGGAGCGTTACCTACAAGCCCAGGGCCAAGGGAGTAAGGTTGGGACAAAACAGAGTGACACCTGGAGTCTGAGGGATTTAAGAATGAGGATGAAGTTCTTCTTCCCTGCTTATTGCCGGCCCAGGACCCAAACCCTCAGAGATGGGGCGTACTCACCAATGCACTGCAGGGAAACCAGGGAGCCTGAGAGACAGGGGCTGGAAGGGAGACACAGGCGTCCTGTGATTTCTGCTTGTCCCTTGGCTGGGAGGCAGGGACTCAGGCCTCCCAGCACTATTGATTAAAGTCCCCTCCCAGGAGCCAGGAAGTATGGAACCTGAATGGTGGGGCTGTATAGACACCGTGCTTGCACCCAGCTCAGTGCGATTTAATGCGATTGGATTCTCCAGCACTACTGATAAGCATCTACTATGTGCTGGGCCCTGCCCGAGTCACAGCCCACCCCGGGCTCTTGGCAGCCTGAGATGGAAGAGAGCAGAGGCTGGGGCAGTGTCTGCTGTACTGCGGGCTCTCCAAACAGAAGAGGAATGGGATTTCGATGAAATTCCAGGCAAATGATCATTCTGCTCCTATTCCTATCCTTTTCAAGATTTACTCTTTGATGAATAAGCAGCCCTCAGCAACATCCCTGAATGCTAAGAAGCCAGCATCCTCTCTGAGTCACTCTGCTGCAGGGTGACAGTTTTCCTGTAGAAGGTGCCCGGCTCTGACTCGGGGTGGTAGGCACGGGAATGATACATTGACAGAGGCCAAGCAGCTTCTCCTCTGGAGAGCTGGAAATGTGGGGAGGGCTTACTCTGGCCTGGATGAGAGGCAGGAAGGACAAAGTGGCCTTTGGAACCTTGCCTCTTGGGCTTAATAGGGAACATAAGGCCATAGGAAACAAATTTGGTTTTCTTATTTGACTGATGAAAGGCCACCAGCTTGTGGACAGCACACTTTGTCCAGCTGCCCCTTGTATTAAAACAAAGAGTCAATACAGAAAACCTCTCAGAAATGTGATGCTCTAGCTTCTGGTATCTGACAGTCTGCCTGGCCAGGAGTTCTTTTTGTTGTCTGGCTTAAGTTTCCTTGCTAAGTCTGTTCAGGGTGGGCTGGCTGCACCCCCGATGGCATCGTCCACATGTGAGCCTTTGTGGGCCAGAGGTGTCCTCTCACTTACCCGCTTGAGTTTCGCACCTGAAGCTCTTGCATGTTCTCTGTGATTTTGACAACATCCAGGTCTTGGGCTGGGCCAATCTCCACGGCTCTGAAGATGGGTTTGCTGCTTATGTTGGGAGAGAAAGAGAGGGAGGGAGAGATGTGAGCTGGGGCAGGAGTTTAGACCAAGAGGGTAGAAGTAGTCCCCACTCCCAGGAGAGGGGGCCGCAGAGAATTCTGGGTACGGTGTGGCAGGGGAGTGGAGGTGGCCTTGGTCAGTGAGGGTGGTGACTGCTTTGCTAGATGACAAGGGATGGTCCCTTGGCATCCCAGGATTCAGCCCTGGGCACAGTGCTGGTGTGGACTTGCTTTGTCAGGCAGGGAAGCCTGGTCCTGAACCCAGAGCCCTGGAGAAATGTTACGGATGTCCTTTTATAACTCCCAGCTCTGTCCCTATTCCAAATGTCCCAGTGGTTTCTTCTGGTTCACAGCGAGGGGAACAAGGAGGCAGAGGAACCAGGTTAGCTCTCCCCTCACCTTGGAGGGAACTGAATGTGGATATATTGCTCTCCAAACAAGGCATCTGGTCTAAATTTGGTAGTGGGGTACATTTATGGTCCCTTTGGAGGTAGGACAGGCCAAGATCAGGCTTCACATGCATCTAGACAAACATTTCTCTCATTTGGACCACTCTCCCTCTTCCTCTCCTCTAGTCCATGCTTGTCTTTATCAAACCTTGGGTGTAAGTCTTCCCTCCTCCAGGAAGGGTTCCCTGATTAATCCCATCTTTCTGATGGTACCTGTACTGAATCTGCCTCTTTCCCATCTCCTATCCTTCCCCATCCAGCCATGCTATACAGAGCTGGTAGAAAGCTGGTATGCAGGCTCGGGTCACCCTGAGGCACTGGCTGACTGGCACATTTTCACATTCCCAGCCAGGAAGCTGGCACTACCTGGATGACCCAGGCATGGCACCTGGAAGACTGAAGTCTAGCAGTGTGGGGTTTTGTGCTGAGAGCCCTCAGGACTGAGGTTCCTGTCCTGGCTCTGACACTCGCTTGCTGTGTACCCTTGGTAGGTCACATTCCCTCTCTGGGTCTCTCCAAGCCTCAGTTTTCCTCTCTGTAAAATGATGGGTGGACCAGATGATCTCTAGAGTCCTTCCCACGTTGAGCCATCTAGGGTTTTGTGGTCCTGGGACAAAAAGGGCCTCCTAGCCAGGGAAATCTGAGACCCAGAAGGAGGAATCATGGTGGAAATGGACATTCCCGGGAGAGGTAGCCTCTGTTCACCAGTTACATCCCGATGAATAATTCTGACCAGCTTTGATCTTGTAGAGCTCAAGATAGAGATGGCATGGTGCCTTAAAGAGCTTCAGAAGGACAGAAGTTGCAGGAGCCTTTTACCTTAAGAGCCCCTGGAGACACCCTGGTTTCGTAATCAAGCTGCAGCCTGCTATGCTGGTACAGCTGACGCTGCAGTTGGCTGGACTGCGGTAGGGAGGAGGGGGTGCTGCAGCCAGAAGGCTGGGCTGGGGTGGCTGCTGGGGGAGGGGAGACAGCAGGGACAGGACGTGCCTTCCCAGCTCTCCTTGAAAACGAAGGTGGTAGGGTATCCTCTTCAGCGGGTACTGGATGTTGCACCCCATGGAGGGCAGAGAGCAAGAGAAGCCTGATAACCAGACAGCAGAAGGGGCAAAGAGGTCTGATGGATCAGTAATGGCTGCCCGCAGCACTTATTGAAAAAGGGCCTGAGGCTGCTCTAGGGATTGATGGAAGCGGGTTCTGTGATTGACTGATAGATGAGGTCTGCTTAAGATTTATCATTTCTACCTAGTCTCTGCGTCCAGTTTCTCAGGATCCTGAAGTTGGGGGCTTGCCAGGAAGAGATTATCCCCTGTGCAACTGAATTCGTGGGTTCTTTTCTATCCTCTCCAGTTAGGCTCTGAGTGATCAACTGTTTCCCCTCCCCTCCCTTTATAAATGAAACCTCCAGAGAAGAGAGAATTACCCAACCGAGAAACAGAGATGCTTCTGTTGCCCAGGAATTAGGGGGTCTTGGGCATAAATGCCAGCCCTCTCGCTCCCAGCTACTAGCCAAGCAAGTTACTTACCTTCTTTGAACCTACTTCTAAAATAGATAGAATAATAACTACCTTTCTGGTTTTTGCCAAGATCAAATGAATATAAATACGTAATGCTAATTACCCTTCTTATAATTATATCCTTTTTCATACACTGAAGATTTAAAACTGCTTTTGAAATTTGCTGAGAAAACTGAGATTGCTGATGAAGAGGCCCAGTGAAATCAGGTTCATTTAAACTAAATTTTAACCAATGGGACTTTGAATAAGTAAATAAGACTTTTGTATTCTGGGGCAGGGACAGCGACTTACCAAGCGAAGAAGGAGTGAGGATTGAGGAGGAAAGGAAAGGAAAGAATTGCAAAGGAGCTTGAACCGTGTGGGGGTGGGGGGGTGGCAGTGGGGGTGGGGGAGGGGTGGGGCAGATATCCTCTCTCTGGTGCCTCTTAACCATCCTATGGGGTTGGTATTGCTTCCTCCAGTAACTCTTGAACATGTTGAGGCTTAGAAGATTTAACTTCATGCTGCTCATAAGGGAAAGTGCTTCAAAAGCGGCTCTGACTCCAATACCTATATTTTTAAGGAAAGAGGGAGGAAAGAGGAAGGAAGGAGAGGAAAAGGGAAAGAGGAAGGAAGAAAGAAAGGGAGAGAGGTCATGGGGTGAGGTGACAGCCTCCAGAGCCTTGGGCTAGGTACCTGTCATAGCCCATCTGCCCACAGGCTGTTTTGGCCAGAGCTTCTGTGAAGTTGTCGAAACAGGCGGAGGCCCAGTTCTTTGTGGCCAGGTTCAGCACCTGCAGGGTGGATCGGTCCCTGGAGAGGCGGACTGGAAGGGGAGGAACCCGGGTCAGCGCAGGGCAGGGACCCATTTGGCCTATCTCCCAGAGAATTCATCATGTGACCAGCCCAAACCGGTAGCCCAAACCCTACCAGGAACTGGGGAGCATCACAGAACACCAACCCTTTCAACCTCAAGGGAAGTTCCTCCATTTGGCTTTGCCAGATTGAGTCTCATTCTGACGGTAGCTAGGGCGACCAGATGTCCTGGGGACAATCTGCATTTTGACCTTTGCCCTGGCATAATTATTAATAGCTCTTTATATGTATAAGTTTTGATGATGTATTACATGGCTTCCCTACCCATAGTTCACACAGCTTGCCTAGCCTGGGAAAACTTCTCAAAGAGGAATGTCGCTCTTTTACCGTGTAAGGTCAGAGAGAGGGGAGTGCTATTGGCAGTAGGGTGGCAGGGCCCATAGGCATTTGACTTCTGATAAAAAAGAGCAAATACACATAAAAAAGAGCATATACACAGGAAGTTACTCAGCCTTGCCCCACAAAAGCCCCCATCACCCGTGTCCTGGGCTGTCTTTTCTTTTCAGAGCCCAAGTGATAGGTGGATCAAGTTGGGCTAGAACAGTCCAAGAAATAACATGGGTTTTCCTGTTTGAAACATCTCAGTATTCTTTGAAGGACCTAGCTCAGTCTTGTTCCATAATGTGTTACGATAAACACTTATCTAATGAATAGAGGGATCAATAACTGGCTAACGGCCTTAATGGTCTCTTTCTAGTCCCCTTGAAACAACAGATTTCAGAGAAAGGAGGGAACTCCCTGAGGTCATTCCATTCAGCACCCAGGAGCAGCAGGAATGGGGCAGGCTCAGTTACAATTTCCTGTCCCCTCTGGCCCACATTTGTTCATCAAAATTTACTGAGTGTTTGCATGTTAAGTATTGGGGACCTAGTAGACAAGACATGATCCTGTTTTTAAGAACCTTACAACGGGGAAGGAAAGTGACTAGTCAGGTGGCAGATGCTGTGCAGTGGACCAAGGGGACCTGAGTCGACTTCCTGCCCTTCCCACTCCCCTGGCCCCACAGACCCTGGACTCACCTGTCACTGGAGGCCCATCGGGGAATTCCTTGACACAGTGCTGCTCATCCTCCCCTGAGGCACAGTCCTGCTGGCCATCACACACTTGCTCCCTCGGGATGAAGTGGAGGGGCTGCCCACAGAGGAAGTAATTGTCCAGAAGCACCTTGACTGGAAGACAAGGGCAGGGAGGGGCAAAGAGGGCTGACGGTCAAGCAGGCAGCCCAGGGGCAGGAGAGATTGTTTCCCTGAAAACATGCTGGGCCTGGAGACAGGCAGATGTGGGTTCCAGGCCCAGTTCTGTCACTTAGGAGCTGGTGTTCTTGGTCCTGAGCCTCAGTTTCCTCATCTGTAAAACGGAGATAATAACATCTGTCCCATCCCTAAAGATGGCTGAGGAGTCAATCAAGATCATGTATGGGGAGCAATTTAGAAACAGTCCCCACTAGCCTCCCAACCCCAAGTGCTGGCACAGTGCCTCTGCGGAGGGAGAAGACAGCGTTGGGCCTGGAGTCTGAAGACCTGAGTTCTGGCTCTGCCACCTACTGTGTGAATTTAGACCAATCGCTTCCCCTTTCTGGGCCTCACAGGGTTGCAGAGAATGTTTGATGAGCTGGTGGTTGTGAAAGTGTCTCATCACTATCAAGTGCAGTTCTAGGATTTGGTGTTTTTATCTGGGGTTGAAAGACCCATTAGGAGGTTGGTGTTTTGCTTTGGTTTTGTCTTCTGCCTCCTACCTTCAAAATTCTATTGCTCCTTTGCTGTCTTAGATGATGGGAAGGAGTCTAGAGTTTTTAAGTCCTCAGAAAATGCAATATAGTTTTGGAAGTTTTAGCCATGGCAATAAGAGAAGAAAAAGAAATAAAAGGAATCCAAATCGGAAAAGAAGAAGTGAAACTGTCACTGTTTGCAGATGACATGATACTATACATAGAGAATCCTAAAGATGCTACCAGAACCTACTAGAGCTAATCAATGAATTTGGTAAAGTAGCAGGATACAAAATTAATGCACAGAAATCTCTTGCATTCCTATACACTAATGATGAAAAATCTGAAAGTGAAATCAAGAAAACACTCCCATTTACCATTGCAACAAAAAGAATAAAATATATAGGAATAAACCTACCTAAGGAGACAAAAGACCTGTATGCAGAAAATTATAAGACACTGATAAAAGAAATTGAAGACAATACAGACAGATGGAGAGATATACCATGTTCTTGGATTGGAAGATTGAACATTGTGAAAACGACTATACTACCCAAAGCAATCTACAGATTCAATGCAATCCCTATCAAACTACCAAGGGCATTTTTCACAGAACTAGAACAAAAAATTTTACAATTTGTATGGAAACACAAAAGACCCCGAATAGCAAAAACAATCTTGAGAAAGAAAAATGGAGCTGGAGGAATCAGGCTCCCTGACTTCAGACTATACTACAAAGCTACAGTAATCAAGACAGTATGTTATTGGCACAGAAACAGAAATATAGATCAATGGAACAGGATAGAAAGCCCAGAGATAAACCCACGCACATATGGTCACCTTATCTTTGATAAAGGAGGCAAGAATATACAATGGAGAAAAGATATCCTCTTCAATAAGCGGTGCTGGGAAAACTGGACAGCTACATGATAAAGAATGAAATTAGAACACTTCCTAACACTGTACACAAAAATAAACTCAAAATGGATTAAAGACCTAAATGTAAGGCCAGACACTATCAAACTCTCAGAGGAAAACATAGGCAGAACACTCTATGACATAAATCACAGCAAGATCCTTTTTGACCCACCTCCTAGAGAAATGGAAATAAAAACGAAAATAAACAAATGGGACCTAATGAAACTTAAAAGCTTTTGCACAGCAAAGGAACCCATAAACAGATGAAAAGACAACCCTCAGAATGGGGGAAGATATTTGCAAATGAAGCAACTGGCAAAGGATTAATCTCCAAAATATACAGGCAGCTCATGCAGCTCAATAACAAAAAACAAACAACCCAATCCAAAAATGGGCAGAAGACCTAAATAGACATTTCTCCAAAGAAGATATACAGATTGCCAACAAACACATGAAAGGATGCTCAACATCACTAATCATTAGAGAAATGCAAATCAAAACCACAATGAGGTATCACCTCACACAGGTCACAATGGCCATCATCAAAACATCTACAAACAACAAATGCTGGAGAGGGTGTGGAGAAAAGGGAACCCTCTTGCACTGTTGATGGGAATGTAAATTGATACAGCTACTATGGAGAACAGTATGGAAGTTCCTTGAAAAACTAAAAATAGAACTACCATATGGCCCATCAATCCCACTACTGGGCATATACTCTGAGAAAACCATAATTCAAAAAGAGACATGTACCACAATGTTCATTGCAGCGCTATTTACAATAGCCAGGACATGGAAGCACCCTAAATGTCCATTGACAGATGAATGGATAATGAAGTTGTGGCACATATTTACAATGGAATATTACTCAGCCATAAAAAGAAGCGAAATTGAGTTATTTGTAGTGAGGTGGGTGGACCTAGAGTCTGTCATACAGAGTGAAGTAAGTCAGAAAGAGAAAAACAAATACCGTATGCTAACACATATATATGGAATCTAAAAAAAATGATTCTGATGAACCTAGGAGCAGGACAGGAATAAAGATGCAGACATAGAGAATGGATTTGAGGGCACAGGTAGGAAGGGTAAGCCGGGAGGAAGTGAGAGAGTAGCATTGACATATATATACTACCAAGTGTAAAACAGATAGCTAGTGGGAAGCAGCCACATAGCACAGGGAGATCAGCTCGGTGCTTTGTGACCACCTAGAGGGGTGGGATAGGGAGGGTGGGAGGGAGACACAAGAGGGAGGGGATATGGGGATGTATGTATATGGATAGCTGATTCACTTTGTAATACAGCAGAGACTAACACAACATTGTAAAACAATTATACTCCAATAAAGATGTTAAGAAAAAGAAGCCAAGAAAATATTGTAAAAAAAAAAAAGTCCTCCGGGAACAGATATTTCCATACTTTCCAAACTGTCCTGGCTCCTCCTGCCTGACTGAACTCTTCCTTGGCCTGAAGCTCCCCTCTGCAGCCCAGCATCACCCCTGGCCGACCCTAGGAGTGGTGGTCACAAGTCTGATGATGGCCCTGCTTATCACTGCTCAGTGCTTTCCTTGCACTGTCACCTGGAATCCTGACAACGACTTTAGGAGGCAGGTGCCATTATGAACTCCCGTTACAAATAAGGAAATGGAGGTTTAGAGAGTTAGGGTTTATTTCGCAAGGCCACGTAGCAGTCAGGTGTTAGAGCCAGGATTTTGATCAGTGTCTGTCTAGTTCTAAAGCTCTTTGCTGCCTCTCCACACCTTCCCTGAAGGAGCTCAAAATGTGATCTTATGGCCCCGATGCTCCCGATTTGGGAAGCAAGGGAGAAGGAGCAGGTCAGTCAGGTATTTCGTGGACTTTCAGAGTTTGGTTCATGGTCAGGAGCCTGGGTGAGGAGGGGTCCCTCCTGCCTCCTGGGGTGAAGCCAGGACACAGCGTCACCAGTTGAGCCCGCAGAAGCCAAAAGGTTGAGGGAGCCCAGCCCAGGATGGAAGTTCACGTTACCTCCTCGGGTTGCAGAACCTGGGGGTCTCGGGTTGGAAGCTGCAAAGGGCCTTCTGGGACAGGGAGAGCCCGACTACATTATGTACTTGTACCTGCCTTGGATCACCCTGAACCTGGCCCTGTCTTCTCTCTCCACTATGGCAGGGTACGTGCTCAGAGTAGGCAGGCTCATCTTAATATTAGTCTGAGCCTAACTGGCCTAGGACGGTAAATCTGCTGATGGCCGCTGCACACCCACCACCGCTTTTGGGCCGGCCAAGGTCAAGACGAATGATCTGGAGCTATGTGCATCTCACGTCCTGATAGGGCACTCAGGGATCTGGGTGGTGTTTGTGTTGTGTATCTACATTTCCACCGCCACGAAGTAGAAATGGACCTGCCCAGTCAGGGCCTGGGGACCTGTCCTAGCCCTGTCCTCGACTGCCACACTGCCTCAGTGCCCAAGTGGAGAATGAGGCGTTGGACCGGATGATCTCTGAGCGTCCTCCAACGAGTTGAAGGCTGCTGCAGGCTCCTGGAAGGCCGTCCTGGCCTGGTGAGCAAACACATGGCCTCGGCCACATCTCTACACACTACGTGATAACCTACACTTTTGCACAACTTGGTTTTTATCCAGGTACTTTACACACGTGACCTCATTGGTCCTCTGATATCCCTCTGAGGGAGGCAGGATGTTTTACAGGTGAGGAGACTGAGGTTAAGAGAGGTTGAGGGACTTACTCAAGGTCACATAGCAGCAAGAAGGGGCAGCGCCGGGATCCCCAACCCAGGTGTCCTGATTCCTAGTCTGGTCCCCTCAGCCCTGCTTCCTGCGTGAAAGCTGCGGTCAGTAGCCTGCTGTGACTATGGGGGTGGGTGAAGATGGGGACTCAGTCACAGGATGTGCGGACAGAAAGGGAGGGACTGTGGGAGTCTGGGCTCGCTCAGTTTACTCTTCCTTGCCCCAGAGTGGCCTGCCTGGGATAACAGTGGGTCTCAGGTTCCTGGCGTGGTGAAGCCAGAGCTCAAGGCGGGGAGAGGGGCTGTCTGCCTGGGCATCTTCCCCGATGCGTCCTCCCTGTCTCCCTCCCCATAAGCAGACATGCTGCCTGCTCCTCCCAGCAGGGCTGCGGATCCACCCTGCTCTCTGTCTGCAGACTTAGGGAGGAGCAGGCAGGGGGCCTGGCTGCTGTGCCGTTGCCTGAGTGGGTTCGTACCTGGTGCAAACTGTGCTTTCCCCACAGAAGAAATCATCTGGGATAGAATCCATCTTGGTAGATGGGGGCTGAGTTCATCTCCCTCTCACTCTGAGAGGAAGGCTCCCTTCAGAGCAGGGGTGGTTACAAAGCTCTATGCAGATTACCTGGCCTTGACTCTGCTGACGTGGGGAGCGCTCTGAGGTGAGGGCAGGGGAGGGGTGGGTGGGAGCTGCCACTTGCTGTAGGGGTGGAGGGGGTGCAGTAAGGCAGCATGGGGGCCGGGGTGAGGGCTGCCACTTACTGAGGACAGCCACGGCTATGATGGTCAGCAGGCTCACCAACGCTGCGATGATGGGGATCCCCACCTTTCTGAAGGTCTCCAGGGAGGTGCGGGATTTGCGCAGGGGGGTGACATCTGTGAGGGGGAGGGGAAGAGCGTGCAGTCAGTACTCGGAGGCCACCCCCTGCCAAGGCCCACAGCTTCCCCGCCCTCTAGCCCCTGGTGCGGAGCCCAGGAAAACTTTGGGGACCGTTTTGGTTGATGCTGGGGTTATTTCTGCAGACTAGGCTTAGCTTCCTCAGCATAGGGCCCCCCCCCTCCTTTCACTTACCCAGGCTTGTCCATCTTTCACAGGTGTTCCTCTAGTCCATGGCACCTTCTCTTTGTCTTGACAGCCTGCTCTAGGATGTTTCATCCTGTCCAGTCTAACCTGCATCTGTCCCAGGAGAGGCACGTACCCTTTGCCTTTACTATCATGTATCCTCTTTCCTGACTTGTCTTTTGATTAAACTATAAGCTCCAGGAGGGCAGGGGCTGCCAGCACAGTATGTGCTTAGTGGAAGCTTAATAAATACTTGTGAATGAAGGTGACCTAATGGCCTTCATCTCTAACTCAGTTCAACACACAGCCAGTCCCTAGAAAGGTCCTGTCTTTAAGGAGATTCCAATTTGGGGGAAGAGGCAAACAGGGACATAATTGCCGTTACCACCAGACACCATCAAGGCACTTAAATGGGCCTTTCTAGGTGGAGATGGGAGAGGGAGGAGTGGGTCCAGCTTGGTGAAGGCCTGGGTGTTGGGAGCTGTGAGCTGCTGGTGTGCCTGGGATGTAAGGTGGGTGAAAGCATGTTGTGGAAGCTGGGCTGGCAAAGTCAGCTTGTGGAGAGTCTTGACTATCATGCTAAGGGGTTTGGATTTTATCCTGAGGGCAGTGAGGGACCATGGAAAGCTTTTAAGCAGCAGAGAGCTATGATCACATTAATATTTAGAACTATGGCTCTTTCATCAGGGAGGAGATGGACTAGAGCAAGAGTCTGGGGTTCGGGAGACCAGGAGGGACCTACTGATGTCTAAAACAGAGGCAATAATAGCTATATTGTCCACTTCACGTGGCTGTCCAAGGAGATGGAACATGGCAAGGCTTTAAAAGGTTAAATTCTCACAAAGTATCAGGGATAGGCTCTTTGGTGTCCCCTCTCCTTGCAGGCAATAAGCTGGGGAGGTGCCACGGGGACTTCTCCAGGGAGAACTAGGGCAGGAATTATAGCAACCCTGAGAATCCCTGGAAAGCAATAGGCCAGCTCTCCTCCCCCTCATCTGCACATGGCTTTCTCCTTTACCTCCATCAAATTGTTCTTCAGATGTCACTTTCTTACTGAGGCCTTCTTTGACCTCCCTATTTAAAATTCAATCTTCCAATGTTTCCTATCCTCCTTCCCTGTTTTATTTTTTCAAAGCATTTATCACCTCTAATGTACTGTATATTTTACATATTTTGTATATCATCTAGCCCCTCCCAACCCTGCCTGAAATGAAGTCTCCAGGAAGATGGGGATTTTTGTCTGTTTTGTTCACTGCTGAGTCCCTGGTGCCTAGAACAGTGCCTGGCCCCTAGTAGGAACTCAAGAAATATGTGTCAAATGAGTAAACGATTTGCTCTTTGCTTGTTCTCTTCAGCACATCCCTTCTGCCTTTCTTACAGGTCTCATTTTATTCTGTCTGGAATGTTGGCTAGTTATGTTTCTGTCTCTCTTTCCTCAGCTGTTCAAAAGCAGAGAATGGCACCCTGCCAGAGACTGGTGCCCAATAAGTGCGGATATCATTGGATGTGTTGATAGGGAAAGCGTAGGAAACTCTATGTTTCCTCAATAGGGAAAGGTTAAACCTCAGACACAGAGCTCTGGCCCTAAAGATGTGGGTGGTATTGCCTGTTATTATCAGGACCTGGCAACAGAGTAGGTTATTAATAATATTGTTTTTTAAGTTCCAGCAGTGAGTGTTCAGCACTGTCCTCTTTCCTGCGGCCATGGACATGGAGACATTCTGTTCATTCATTCATGCATGATTTCTTCATTGACCACCTACCTCTGGGAATACAAGGTTGGCTTGTTTTCCCAGAGGTGAATGACTTATTGGGAGTCCTTTGATGAGTTCCCTTGTCCAGGGCCCAATGTCTCTGTCTCCCTGATGTTCTAATGGAGAACATCATCAGGAAGCGAAGGGTTTTCTTGGTTTATTGTCTATAAAGTTTATTGTTTATAAAATTAACCAACCCGCTGAGCTATGAAGAGCCTCCTTGCCTGCCACTGTTCCTTCCTCCAGCCTGTCCTGCCCAATGCTGCCAGACAGACATATTGCTCTCATCCCATAACGTCTCTGCTCCAGAACCCTCAAGGGCTCCCCATGACTTCCGTGTCTGAATCACCCTCTTCTCTGGGCTTTCAAAGGCGGTGTAATTTGGCTTCCCTCTCCCAGCCAAATGGACTTCCCACTGCTAGTCCGCCAGCCCCATTTCCACATGAGCCGTTTCACTCCCTGGTCCTTGCACAACCTGTAATCATTCTTAACCTCAGAATCTTCACTTGGCACTGACTTCTCCCTCCCGAGCTCCCTTAATTGTTTTCTGGTTTGGCTGTTCCCAGGCTTACTCAGGTGGTGGAGCCCTTGTATGTCTAGTGTTCTTTGGGGACACCACAGAATATTGATATATTAAATTCCAAAGTAGAAACTAGGCATTGTTTTACCTGCTGAAGATTATATCGTTTGTGATCTTTATTAACTTGTGACCCTGAAATAAATAAGCCGTCAAAGTAAGTGAGATTGGTCATCTCCTTATGAAGCTGTCATATTTAATTTGTCTCTGCTCACTTGTTTTGCTGATCCAGGTTGTCAGGCATAGGTATCAGTGGTTTAAAAAAATGGAACAGGAGGAAAATAACCCCCTATATTTGGGAATACTTCATCTATTAACTTATTTTTCTCTGGTAAGTCAGGCAAACACTGCCATTTTCTATTCTACCAGTGAAAACACCTTTGTCCAGCTTGTTCCCTGGCAGCACGGTCAGACTGTAAACTCCATGAGGGCAGGGACTTTGGCTGTCGTATTTACTGCTGTAGTCCCGTGTCCAGCCCAGGGCCTACCCCGTGCAGGCACTCACAGTACTGTTGAAGGGATGAGAGAATAAGTAACTGAATGAATGAATTAGAAAATCACTGCTGTTGGCGTTTTAGGTTTGATGGTTCTATTTCCCCAGAGACCATGCCTCCCACTTCTAGAATGAATCCTGGAGATGACACTTGCTTGATACATGTTTGTTGAATGGTGGATGGATGTCTCCCGTAGCATTTAGCACTTGGAGGTGGTGGTGAGAACCATGCAAGAGGGGTCTAGTATCTACTTGGTAACTGAGTGAGACTGCGATAGACAAAGGAAAGCCAGACCTGAGCTTACCAAGGCTGTTCAGGGGTTGATCGCTGTTGGGATCCTGTAATTGAAGGAAAAACAGTCAGTGAGTTGAGTGAGGGAACCTCTCAGTCTGGGGCTAAGAGCCCAGGAAAGGGCTCTTATCTGCATTCCCTTCTCCCTGCTGAGTCTAAGGTGGGGGGCTCTATGATATCTAAATAATTGGTTTAAAATATAAAATTCAGTTATTCATCTAAATGACCTGGTACAGCAGGTTTACTGATTGTAGCAGCTAGTTAGCAATTGAAAAACAGCTGGCTGCTGGGCTGTTTTGTGTATTGCTGAGTTTCTTAAGATGGTTCTGCTCTCCTGTCTGTTTTTGTCAATTATTCGCCTACTTTGATAGATACTGTAGTTCTGTAAAAACTTGAACGGGCACTTCACCAAAGGGGATACTTCCATGGCCAGTCAAGTGCCAAAAGATGCTTGACGTCATCACTCATCAGGCCAATGTAAATTCAGACCACAATGAGCTATCTCTACAGAGACACCTGAATGGTTAAAATTTAAAAGCCTGACAATACTAAGTGCTGTTGAGGATGTGGGGCAACTGGAAATCTCAGACACTGCTGCTAAGAGTGTAAATTGGTACAGATATTTTGGAAAAAGGTTTGGCTGAATCTACTAAAGCTAAACATATGACTCTTCTATGATTCTTTGTTTTTTTTTGTTGTTGTTGTTTTTAATTTGGCTGCACCAGGTGTTAGTTGAGGCACGTGGGATCTTTGTTGTCACGTGCAGGATCTGTGTTGCGGCATGCGGGATCCTTTAGTTGCGGCATGTGGGATCTAGTTCTCTGACCAGGGATCGAACCCGGGCCCCCTGCATTGGGAGCTCGGAGTCTTAACCACTGGACCACCAGGGAAGTCTCAGTATTCTATGATTCTATGACCAGGAATTAGGGCCAAGAGAAATGGGTACATCTGTCCAGCAAAACACCTGTACATGAATCTTCATACTAGCTTCATCCGTAATAGCTAAAAATTGGAAAAACCCCAAAGTCAATCACTGACGGAATAAATTGTGGTGTATTCATATAATGGAATATAATTCAGCAATAGACAAGAATAAACTAGTGTGAAATGCAATGACACATGGACGAATCTCAGAGACATAATAATGAAAAAAAGAAACTAGACACAGAAGAATATTATTTCATATATATGATTCAAAGGTAAAGTTAATCCATGGTGATAGAAGTCAGGATAGTGATTATACTGGGGGTTATTTGAAGGAGCACAAGGGAGCCTTCTGGAATGTTGGAAAACTAGATCTTGATCTAGGTGTTGGTTACATGGGGGTGTACGTGTGTAAAAATTCACTGAGTGGTATACTTTAGATTTGAGTACTTTACTGAACATATGTTATACCTAATAGAACAAACAGACAAAAACAAAAAACTACCAGGACACTAAGGTATTTCTGTGAGTGTAGTCTTAGGTCATCGTGAATACACATACACAGATGCACACGAGGCTCTGTTCTTCCACTCATTTGCACCACTACACGTGCACTCAGCATACACACAGCCACATAGGGGCACACACAGGAGCCCGCACACAAAGGCTCTCATGCAAAGTACTTGCACCCTTTCCTGCAAGGCAGAGCTTCGGGAAGGGTGCTGCCTAAGTTCCTGCTCTCCTGCCTCCCATGAACTCTCTTTCTTTCCTTTCCTCGTCTGGCATAGGACCTGGAGTCCCTGGGCTGGGCGAGGCCAGGCTCTGCAGGGGCTGAGTTGGAATTCGAGCTGTGCCTCCTATTAACTGGGAGCCTTTGGGCAAGATACTTAACCTCTCTGAGCTTCAGGTTTCCCCTCCCCTCGTAGAGTGGGGAAAATGACACCTACTTCAAAGTGCTCCTGTGAGGATGAGATGCGATATCTGGTGGAAAGTGCCTGGTTCACAGAGAGAACTCTCTTCCTGGCCCTTCCGTCCTGTGCCCCTGGGCATTTGGCACAGAGCTCTATTCTAGGACTCTCCCGTCGGGCGGTCTCTATTTCTTATTGCCTTTGTGCCTTCAGTGCTTTACATCCGGCTTGTACCTAGTAAAGGCCCAGTAAATGACTGCTACACTGAACTGAACTTGGGGCTCTGCACTGTAGTTCCTTCCGGGCCGTCTCTCCTCCACCATCACCAGGGCCTGGATAGGGAACTACTTCCAGGATGAAGATGAGAACGATTCTGGAGAGTCTGTTGCGGTAGCTACAGAGCCAGGTGATAATCTTACCAACAGTAATCTGTACACAATTGGCGCATAGCAGTTTACAAAGCCCTTTTGTCTAACTCAGTCAAATACAAAGGTGAAAAGAATTGACGCTCGTCTGATAACCAGAGTGGGTAGCATTCAATAGTTAAGTATCAAACAAATATTTTAGAGTGTCTATGTTGTACCAGGCACTGCTCTGGGAGCTGTGGATTCAAAGACAAATGAGAAATAATTACAGCAAGGATGGGAGAAGTGCCCAAACAAGACAGGTGAGGCCCTGCCCTCAAGATACTGTATCCTGGGGTGGGGGAGTCAGGGGGAGCGTAGGAGAGGCCAGGTCGTCAACAGATAAACCCAGAGAGTGATGGGTGCTATGCAGAGAGTAACATGGGTGATGGGAGACAGCGCCTGGCTGGATGCTTAAAATGGGAGGTCTAGGGAAGGGATCAGGTTAGGGAGGGCCTCTGGCCTGAGACTTAAATGACAGGAAGTAGCCAGGCAGGCAGAAACAAGCTTGGTGTTGGAGGAACAGAATGGAGATCGGTGTGGCTATAGCAAGGCGGGATGAATAGACGGGCGGTGGGAAGATTCGACTCTGCTTCGAAGACAAAGGCAATAGGCCTCGCCCATAGATTGGATGCTTGTGGGTTTTTAGTGAACAAGCAAGAGGGTATTTGCTGAGATGTGGAAGGCTACAGGAGGGGCAGGTTGGAGGGGTATCAAGGACGTCCAATTAGTGGCCAATCCCCTGTCAATTCATTCTTTCTCACGGAATCTGCCTGCACACACATGTCTGCACTGGTTGAAGTAGGTAGGGTAAGTCTCTTTGTTTAGTTTTCAGCAAATATTGACTGTTCGCCTTTGATGGGTCTGGAACTGTGCTAGAAGCTGAGAGACAGAGGGAACAAAAGGGGCTTTCGGTCTGTATTTTCTGGGGCCTTGGATTCCTCATCTCTGAACTGAAGTGACCCTAGTACCCCTGGCTAATATGTTTTCAATCGCTATCAGTTGAGTAGTGGTTATTAAACAGAAAAAACAATCCATACCTTTTTGAAAACAAAAGAGAATGAGGAAAAAACCCTGCAAGGTAGAATGATAGAGGCTGCGAATATCTTGGTCATTACCGCACCCCTGGTGTCTCCTACAATACCTGGCACACAGTGGGTATTTAATAAATCTTTGTTGAATGAAAAAATTAAGGAAAATATTGCAGTTTCAGGGTTCAATCCCAGGCCAGCCTTGAAGACGCTGACTGAGGTAATTCACACAATGGAATATTATGCTGCAGTCAAAACACACGAACTGTGGTGCCACAAAGTAGTATGAGCAGCGGGAGTGATTTCATATTAAAGGAAGAATTAAGTCCCAGAAGATTTCATCTAACACAGAATCTTTTTTATTACAAAAAAGCAAAGAAATGGTGAACATGGAATTCAGGATGATTCTAGCACCATCTCTGGCCTATTGAAGGCGTACAATCAAGATTTGTTGAATTGATAAACAAAAAGGACTCGCCTGCCTACCTCAGCAAGGGGATCTCCTGGTTAGATGTAGGTTATTGTTAGATTCCAGCTTTGGTTTTGGGTGGTGGGTTTATGGAGGCTTCTTACGTTGCTGAAACTGTGTAACTAGGTGGTGAGTTATAGGGAGCCCCGCCTGGACCAATAGTGAAAAATGCCATAAATCAGTGATTATGATTTATCCAGGGCCGTGCACCTGAGGGTCAAAGAGAAAATAAAAAAGCAGCCGCCTGGTTCTGCTGAGGGGTTTGAGGCTCAAACTGCCATCCTCCTGCTGCTTTGTTCTCACTCTTATGCTGCCTGACTTCTTCCATTTAGTGGCCCACTCTTCGGCTTTTCTTTTTTTTTTTTTTTTTTGCGGTATGCGGGCCTCTCACTGCCGTGGCCTCTCCTGTTGCGGAGCACAGGCTCCGGACGCGCAGGCTCAGCGGCCATGGCTCACGGGCCCAGCCGCTCCGCGGCAAGTGGGATCTTCCCGGACGGGGGCACGAACCCCCGTGGACTCTTAACCACTGCGCCACCAGGGAAGCCCTTTGGCTTTTCTTGAAGCCTCTCTGACAAAAGTTTCCAGCACAGAGATCAGAGATGAAGAGTTGCTAAAATTCTGGGAAGGGGAGCTGCTGAAAGTCAAGGGCATCGGGGATAATGCGTAGGGAGTTGGGTGCGTTTTAGGCCTACGAGTGGCAGCTGAGTATCATCAATGCCAATGACTTTCCTGAGCAGGATAAAGATAGGGACTCCCAGCAGCTGCGTCGCCTTTCAGTCCAGAATCAATCCTGAGCTGCGGGAAGGAGGGAGGGAGGCTGAGAGATGTGGCTACCAGGTAAGGTTCTGCCATCTGACCCACCCCCAACACTGTGGTGGGTCCCTTCCGGATCACAGTGTGCAAGGCTGAAAGGGTCTCTGGAGTAGAGAGAAAACCAGCCAGACAGGGGAAATGTTTTGCCCTGTAGTTGATGGAGGGAAGAGGGCTGAGAGGCCAACAAAGACCAGCTGTGCCTCCTTCTGCTTTGTTGGAGGTGTCTCTGTTTATCCCCAGCTTGAACTCAGCCCCTGGCCACAACTGCCACAGCCTAGGCCACACCCCAGGGCACGCAGAGGTGTTGGCCTTCTCCTTTTGGTCGGGGCCACTGGCTGGGTCAGGCCCGTCTGCTCTGTTGATTCAGTTTGCGTCAGAGCCCTGACTCATGGGGCCAGCCCCACCGGTGCCCGACCCAGGGCTCATCCAGGAACGAGGCGCCTACTGTCTGGAGTCAAATGAAAGGGCAAGAATACCTGGGGCCCCAGAGCCCAGGAT